CCCCCCGCTCCCTTCGTCCCTGCCCCCGGCGGTATCCAGCCCTTTATTCCCCCCCCCGCCGCCCGTCGTCGGCCATGACAGAAACTACCAACCCGGATATGGCACGCGCCAGGCGGATAGTCACATTACCGCGCAGGCGCGGTCTTCCAGGTTCCACGTAGCAAAACAAGCCGGCGCCCTTGCTTGCGGATACTGCTCACATGGCGGCAACTCCCGTTGCCATAGTCACGCAAAGCGCCGGTCCGAGCGTAGCGGCCACGAAAGGAGAGGAAGCTCTCGCCTCGCTTCCGCTTTCGTGACGTCATTCCGGAGATTTTTCATTCTGCATGGCGTAGGCTTCAGGTTCGACTTAGCGCTCATACTGGCCTCTCCTAACTCTAATTAAACCGATATAATTTATTTTTAAATAAGCGATATCGCAGACCTCATTTTCATCCTCTTAATTGCCAACAGCCAAAGAAAGTTCAGAGCAGCCCCGTTTGAGGCACGTGCCCGTAGGCTCTTTTTGCTGTAAACAATACATTGGGCTCCCTTTTTAAAAGGCGGGTGCTCGAGCACTTCACTTCCCAGAAAGAAAAGCTGATTATAACGTCATACATGTTCAGTGGGATTTAGTGGGTACTGGATCTAGATCAAGAATGTAATCATCCACTACTAGCTGCTTTTTGACTGGTATCATTTAGGGATGGCTTTTAAATAAGAATTAAAATTTACATTCATTTTGTAGTTTTCAACCTCGCAGTACCCACATAAATTAACAAAATAGGTTACTTTTAGATAATATTTATTAATAAATACTCTAATAGTGAAACACCAATCCTGAATATCAGTGGGCAACACCATGCATAATAGTCACTAATATTTGCTAATATACAAATTTAGTTTTCATCCATAGATGGTACTTAAGTACAATCTTTCGCTCAGTTTGAAAAAAAAAAATCAAAATTTGGTAGTACATATAACTGACAACTCAATAAAGGCATTAAATAAAGCAAGAAATAGGCTGTTTTTTAAACTGTTTGGTTGTCTGGACTAAGTTATGTGTAGATACTAAAATGCAATTTAAAATCTGTTCACTGTGCTCTTGTGTGCATCCAGAACTTTCATAGGTGTTTCAAAAATGAATCCATTGGCCTTCAGGAGGTTCATGCAGGAAGGAGTGTTGGCATTATTATGATGAGATTACAAATTGAATAAAATTATTATACAACACTTTCTGTACATTGTGAGCTTTTACACTGGTAACATCAACCAAATATTGGTTTGCAAGAACAGTTCTAAAATAAGAGTGATTTATTCAAGATAAACTTCCATCAATGCTTATATAAATAGATTATGTCTGGATAACTCATCCTTCCTCCCCTTCTTCCCCTGTACAGAAGTGGTTTGGAGACTTTCTTCAGTGCCTGTTTACATCACCTGTATTCATATCAAGTAATAAAATGAAGTTTGAAGAGTACAGTTTGTGGTGTTGTGACATCCGCAACTGCAAGCTCCTGACCATCAACAAGGCCCAGTTCTGCAATGTTAAAAGCATCATATTTAAAACTCATTTCTATATAGAGATATTACATTTCCAGAATTGAAACAAAGGAAAAAAATCTGGATTTTTTATGGAACAAAATTTGGAGAAAACTGAAATATATACAGTATTAATTTTAAAACACTTTACAGATATAAACACTTTGTTACTCTATAAAATATGTATAATTAGAATTGCTCAAAATTATGATCGGTGTATAACATCATACACCAGAAAATCATTATAAAATCAGTTTATTTTAAAGTTCTTTTAATTTTTGTACAGTTGACGCTAAAAGCTGCTGAATTCTAAAAGGAACAACTCTTATTTTTTGTCGTTTTAGTAAAAGTGGCAGGTAAAATCTTGTCACTGAAAATAAGAGAAACTGTCAAGTGCCGTAGGAAAGCAAAAGCAGTTATGGATTATATAAGAATTTGACATGCCTATTATTTGTAAAGCTGATGGTCACTGATGGTGCTATGTAAATATATATGAATTTATTCTAATATTTTTGATATACTGCTTACAATCTGTTCATATTTGTTTATATTTTAAATTTAGTCACTGCCCATCTCACTCATTTTTGCAACAACACGGCAGAAATGTCACTGAGCTGGCAGTGTTCATGTCTTTATTCCATCGCTTCACTTTTCTTTCCATTAAAAAACTGAAGAATTTAACTGAAGCCATGATATATCCAAAGCAGCAACTTTAGATGCAGATATTTCACAGGAATCACACTAAGGTTAATGATGCCCCTCAGAGCTCCTGGAATACATGTCTAGAAAAAAACCCTAAAAACTAAACCAGTCAAACCCCATTCCATCAATTTTCTTTTTTCACTTTGCATGTATGCATTCTAATAGTATGATACCTGCCTTATATTGCTATTTCAACACCTACATCTTTAAAGAAAATTATTTTAATGTATAAAAGGATGCCACTGTATTTCATTAAATGCCAATACCATATGCCATATTTGCTCTGAAGCAATTTTTAGAAGAGTTTCCTGACACCTATGGCATACCAGATCAATTTAAAAAAAAAAGCATTAAGCAATGCACACACTTTTTTTTTCAGCAGCATGTCCTAATATGCTTTAATTATTAACTATTAAAGATTACCTTTTAAAGTCTTTGAAAGATTCGGCCTTGTTCGTTCTTCAATTGAAGCTACTGACTGTGGAAGGAGGGAAAAATATACAACATGCATTCTATTATTTTACTTAGCTCTACGAACACACATTCTGTGTTTTTTACTTAAATCTGCAAATATGTGTGCTAAAACGATTCACAAGTATATATAAGTTACCTGTAAATATAGAGTTTTATTTCTTCCATATACCGTAGCAGTTATTGCAGGAGATTTCATTTGTCTGTGCAAAAAAAGCAGCAAGACAACTAGTCAAAATTTTAAAACAAGTATCCCCTTGATCTACTGAAAGTGAATTTTTAGAATCTGAGATTATTACAAATATATAAATAACTGTATTCTATACTTACAATGAAGCACTATTTGTTAAATAATCCAAGACTTCCTGCAGTTTAGCTGATGGAGAAAACTCTATGTTTTGAGGAAGCTGACTACAAGCCAGACAATTTTCCTACAAAGCAGAAAATGAAACATCTGACATTGTAAAAAGAGTAAAGAAATCAGTAGGGCTATAATTCTATGGCTAGGACCTTCTCCTGAGGGCAATGAAGTCTCCAAAGGAAAGGATCAAAGCACCTTTAAGTCTGAATGATCCAATACCATCCCTCCCCTCCCCGAACAGCAGAAAAATTCTGATTAACCCTCTGATTAATTAGACCCTTCCATTTAAGCAAAGCCTTGCATCTGCCAGAACTCCTTGATTTTTATATAGGAGTGCTCTTTCAAGTTGGTCAAAATCCTGCCCAAACATACAAGGAATTATCTTCGTGAAAAATCAGTCTGGTCTTTCTGGACCCAATAAGCAGTGCTGTCTTTGCTGTTATTCTTTCTTTCTAAATTCATATATAAAATCTAACTTGCATCATGTTCAGGTTCACATTACAGCTTACTAACTGATGTTTAATCCTAAATCCTCTGTTACTAGTGATATTTGATATGTGTGAATATGAAATTCTTATTCCAGCATTTCAGTGAGAAAGTGGAATTTGGGATAGGCAGACTATTAGCTTCTAAACATTCCAAATTACAACTCCCACAAGTAAATACCAGTAAATACAAAAATTGTATACTTGTGAACCCCATTTTTAGTCATAGCTTATCCTCCTCCTGTGCTATGATTATTGCTACATAGAGATAGTTCAGATTTTTCTAATAAAAAAAAGTGAACCACGACCAATGCTATACTCTTCAATGTGTAAGAGTGAATACGAACTGCTAATTTCTGTATCAGGTATATTGAGTAATTTTTGCTCCTTCTCAAGCTTCATTACTGCTGTGTAGCCTATAACTGAAATATTACTATTGAACAGATATATGTTAACTTTAACATCACTAACTTTTCAATAAAGAACAGAGCCAACAAGATAGATGAATAAAGGATATGAATTAGGATTCTTACATAAACATTCAAGACTTTCTGGACACAGTACTCGAGAATAAAGTAATTGAAGATCAAAACCAAACAAGGTAAGAAAACTGTATGCAGCAATACTAACCTTCTTTTCAGCTTCAAATGTGTATGTATACAGACCATCAACATCATTGAACACCAAATAGTTGTTCAGAGGCATGTATGCACTGCAAGGAAACATTTCTTAGCATATAAGCAGGAAGTCTTCTAAGAGTTTATAAGCAGCTAGCTCGTAAAAATATTAAAGAATTAATTAATTGCTCCAGCCACAAACAGGGCCTTTTAAAGGACACTAAGTTTGTGCACTTCCCTTGCTAACTGTTTTCGGAAACTGCTTATTAACGGCTTCAGTGAAGTTAGACGCCTTCAAAGGGACAAGGCTGGAAATATCCGGTGAGTGAGTACCCTCAAATCTTAATACAAGAAAATGAAGATTTATTTTTATAAGTTTTAAGTATTTAAAATAAACAGCAAAAAGCAAGACAAGGTTTTGGCTACAGAAAGCTTTAAAAAGATTAAGGGTTCAGAAAACATTGGTTGAATTTTGAATATTAAGACATTGAAATTATTTTTAAATAATAAATGCATGTTTGTAGAAAATAAATTATGATGTTTAGAGATATCTTTGAACAATTCCACTGAGGATTGCATTGAGACTTTGAATCAATTATGGCAGCTTTTTTTTTTAAACAGTTTGTCTTCAGAACAAGATGTTATAGAACAAGATATACAACAAATTCCACTTGAAAACAATATGAATGAAACTTTGGATAAGAATCTGCCATCAGACGTAAAGAGAAAACTATATGAAGTTTTAAATATTAAGAAGGAAATAAAAAAGACAATCCCAGAAAGTAATAGGAATATGTTTTTTTGTTGGATTTACAAAAGAGACTGCTTAAAATATGGAATAAGGATCAACAACTACTGGAATGGATTACAGAGGAAGACTGTTCTGTATTAAAAAAAAAAAAAAAAAAGGAATACAAAGTTAGCTTATTTGACCAGGATTAAAATGGGACATGTTATTTTGGTTGGTTCTTTTTGGATTTACTGATATTTTGACTACTGGAAAAATGTGATATACTAGATTTGCTTATTTGGGTTTTTTTTTTTTTACTTTATAGCTATTTTCTGTATCTTAATTATTTAGTATCTATATGCTTATTATCTAATTGTGGGAATTTTTTTTCAGAGAAACTAGCTCTTTTTGTTAGGTTAAATTTAATCTTTTTTGTATTAGGGTATTGGGACTACTTTATATTGTGAATAGATTAGAGTTGAAATATGGAATGTTTATTTGAATGGGATATGCTGTTATTTGGGGTGGTTATCTCTGGAATGGTTGCTATTTGGAATGGGTTGTGTAGGTTTAGTTTCTTTATACTAGGATATTGGACCTTTGTATGCCTTTCAAATGGGGTTTTGCTTACAGCTAAAGTTAATTAATTTTAATATTTCAGAACTCTGGATTTTTTGCTGACAATTGGATAAGGGGAAGATGTTACTTATTTGGTTTATTAGTAAGAGAAGGGTTATGGGATGAAGAGTTTTATGTTTTTTAATTAAGATGGGTGAAGAAATGATGAAATTGTTTATACGTGTGATGAGGGTGGGAAATTGCTTTCTCAGAAGGGGATTTTTTGCACTGTTTTATTCTCTTTTTTTCCTTTTTTCTTTTCTTTTACTTTGTATTATCTTTTATTGTTCTTTCCAAAAATCTTAATAAAATTATTGAAAAAAAAAGAATTAAGTTACCTTGTGGCTATTTTGAAGACTTCAGTGGCACATATAGCTAGAAATAGAGGGAAAGAGAAACAATCAAAATTATTTAAATATTTAATTGGGAAAAGTACAGATTAAGCAGACTGTTTATAACAACCTGAAAACTAACATATTAATTTTATTTGTGTTTAAACGCTTCTGAAAGTTTGATATTTTTATATATAAGAAAGATTTTATTAGAATAAAATAGCATACTAGGCAATATTTATTTTTATTAGATTCTTTTTTATAAACACCCACAACACAACAATGTAAACTAAAACAATGAAACCATTAAAAACCTTATAAATAACTTAATATAGTACAGGTAGTCCTCATTTAGTGGCTGCAATTAGTTCCGACAACTCGGTCATTAAGCGAAGCAGTCGCTAAGTGAAAATCATGTGACCGCAACTGTGCTTATGATTTTACTTCAGTCTTCCTTCACTTTACAGCGTCAGACAGCTATAACCCCAAACAGCTGGGTGAGCCCAAACGGCAGGGAAGGCTTCCGAAACTTGACTCACAAGGAAGCTGGGTAAAAGGACAAATCTTAAAGCCCTTTTTCTCCGCTCTCCCACCCTTTGGAATGCTTACCCCAGTGCTGTGATAATTAGCAAGAAAGAAATTAATCTTTCTATTTACATTCCTTGGAGAGCAAGAGATTACAAGAGTAAGCAGGCACACAATGAAGAATACACATCAATGCGCTAGTGCCAACTGTTTGCCTAGTGCACTGGTGGCTGTGAGCCCCCAGCTGCTTAGGAGGCAAACAAAAGCCTTTAGTGTGAAACTGATCAGGGTCTTGTCAGTGTCAGGCAGCAGCAGAAGCAGGAAGGTGGGTTCTAATCAACTAATTAAGGTCATAGAGCTGAGCTTGTTAACTTGCAGTTAGCACTTTTTAAGGACACTGCACTGTGGAGAAAAGCAGCTCAAGAAGAGATTGCTTGTTTAAGAAATCTCTCTGTCCTGCAAGGGAGGGGGGAGGAAAAAAAAAGGGTCAGACACAGAACAACACATACTAACTGACTGTAATGGTGAACACGTGATTGAGAAAGAGAGAGAGATGCTGTGAAGATCATAAGTGCACACATTGGTCACAGTTACTTTTTCATCACCACTATAATTGTGAACAATCACTGTCCAAGGCAGTTGTTAAACGAGTACTACCTGTATCCCAACAATAGTTAACCTTCAATACGTCAATTTTAATTACTTAAAAGACTTCAGAAAGAGCTCCAGTTTCACAAATTTCTAGAAGATTAGCAAGGTCAGGGCAAGCCACCCCTATTGTGGAAGGCTATTCCAGAAAATAAGAGCCGCAAAAGAAAAGCAACCCCCCCAGCCTCCCCTCCCTCCCCCATTTTTTAGTAGTGATGGATTATCAGCATTTTTTTCCATATAGTTCATGTTGGATGATTCCAGTTGAAGAAGGTATTCCTGAACGAATCTTAGTGCCAAGCTATATATTAAACTAAATACAGCCAGGACTTTTAACCCTATGTTACCAAAAACTAGTTTGCCTATACAATTGCTGAAATATGTCATTCTAAGGATTAAGCACTTTGCCCAACTGTTTTTAGCCTACCTCTAGCCAAATTTATTTACTTGGAAATAAATCCTACTGATTTCAGTGCATTTTTTTTTGCAACAAGCCCTTTCGATTCAGATGAACTTCCTTTTCAGGATATAAATATATAGGTGTGTGCCATAAAATAATTCTTCTGATCTATTTAGACTGGTCTTATATACAGAGAAAATCAGCACAAACTGACCCTGTTTTCAGCTGGAATCCCCAGCACTACTGTTAAACATAAACAAGAAGTTTTTGGCAGTACTGTACCTGCAATTACAGCATTTGTCGATGCTACTGCTGGAATGATCCGCTTTACAACTCCTGCGTTTGAGGAAGCATCATACACCTTCATGTTATTTTTTTATAGAAAACCGCAATAAAATATGTTGTACGCTTGTGAACTGACTTAGAGACTAACAATAATTCCAAGCAGAGTATCTTCAGAATTGTTTAACAGCTGCAGTTAACACTTAACTAGGAATGGGGAACCATTCTGGCTTGATAACATACTTTCTGACTCTGCCCTGCCTGGGATCACAAGGGGCACAGCTGGTGATGTTCAATTGGGCAGGGTTAAAACTTTCAGGGCTTTTTCAACTTTTGGGAAGGGCATATTTTACTGTGAAAAAATGGGATCCAAAATGTCAGCCCTATCCATTCTATGGGCCACAACAGAGTGCTTGGGCAGCATGCAAGCTACAGACAGCCCAACTATCCTAAGCCATCACTGAATACAAAAATCAGAACAAAAATACAAAGTTGAATAAAGAGCTCTTGCTGAATCTTACCTTGTGTGAGCCTATAGGTTAGACCTTTAATATTAAATTGTGATGCCCTGTCTATAGATTTTTCAAAAATCCATTGTATGTGTTCTGGGTCATCTCCATCTAGGGAAACACCTTCTGCAAGAGAACAGATAAAGCATTTTATTTAAATATAAAATCTTCATTAGCTATAATTTATCTTAGGTCAAAATGATATACTTTGAATCTCATGAAAAAGAGTAAGTAGAATAAATTTTACAAGGAGCCTAGCTATTGACTTTTTCCGAAAGAATCAGAACAATCACAACAGAATGAAGCAGGTTTACCATGATCTTCACTGTATCATACAAGGCAAGAGAAGTTCTGTACATTATTATTCCATTTCTTATATTGATTCAGCTTTGATTACCTCCAAAAGGTTGTTCCTTGGGCCACTGCAATATTCTGACGTACTCAATACAGTGTTCTGGCAGACGAGGCATTGAAGCAATTGTACACATGGGAAAATTTACCTGGTAAAAATAGATAAAAAGATGATTCAACCTGAATTTTGCACAAAGAGGTTTAAAAAAAATGACTGTTTAAAAAAAAAAAGACGGTTTTTCAGCTACCTGTGGTGGATAAAGTTCAAGCGTACATTCAATACAAGCTGTCATGCCTGGAATAATCACACGAGCATTTCCTTTAAAACCTTCTGTTCCTCCGTCAATCAAAGGTATAATAGAACTTGGATCTACTACCCCATCTTCATAGTTTAAAAGGGAAATCTAGAAGACAAAATAGAACGTATTGTATTAGGCTCCTTCCATCTCTCTCTCAGCACCAAAATGTGTAATTCAGCAACACAAGCAGAAGCTGTGGTATTTGAAATAATTACAGGATTGACTGCAGTGGTCATTTCTGGTCCACAGAATGTGACAGAATTATAACAATTCATCTTTCAAAATTAAGAGGAAATTATTACAATATATCTCATTTCATATGCACCTTGAATTTATGTGTATTGTATACAGTCCTCTTCAAGCAATTTCAACCCCATAATGGCTCAAATTATTGGTGCAAATTATATATTTATACTGTTTATATTTGCAATATTATCCTTGTCTGCAAGAGAATGCTATTCTGATTTTCATATTGTAAATTAAAAGCATGGATCTCAGCAGCTGTTGCCCTCTAAAAAGTGCCAGCTTATTAGGATCTATCATCAACTGGCAGAATAAGTCAGTGTTGGTGGAAGCTACAACTCAAGCAACTTTGTGCTAGAGCCATTCTTCAAATACTAATTTGGTATATCTGCTTTCTTAATTAGAAAAAATATTCTAAAAATTATACTGTAATTATATAAAATTACTTAAAGTATATAAAAATATATACATTTTATAAAATGTATAAAAGTGTATTGGTGGGAAAACACCAAATTGAAAAAAGTATTTTAAAAAATTCAGAATAAAACAAAATAATCTATTGAAGATTCTTTCAAATCAGTCTAAATGTGAAATTCATTGTGGTAAATCTAAATGTCATGATCTGCCCCTATATGGATCCTGAGCATTAAGCCAAGACTAAAAGGACAGTAATTTATGAAAAGTGAAATAGAAGCATTACCATGTGCCTAATAAGAATATTATAATATGTCATATATCTTATTTCAGAATTAAAAATGAAACATTTATCCTTTTATAGCAAAAAGAATTCCAGTGTCCATATTTCATAAAAAGCCAAATCAACTTTACTTTTAGTAAAAATACTTACCAACATGCCATTTATCCATCTTCTTGCAATAATTGAATCCAAACCACATACAATTATATGAAATTCTAAAAGAAAACATATAAATATAATCGCTCCTCCATTCCAACATAATTAGCTATAATAATTATAGTCTATGAGTTGAGAGTTTTGCTTACTTAAGGAAAGGATGATTATCTTACTTGACAAACCAAGAATTGCTATTTTCACCATAGGGCATTATAACTTACGTCTATAGAAAGTTTCATCCAGATCCTGAATCTTTTTATAATGTCTGAAAACACACAGTAAAGGAATTATTTCAAGCAATTACCTGATCATTGTGGAATTATTATTAATAATATCACAGTCTACAAAGACAACAAATAATTAACACTAACTGCTTTAAATGGCTCCCAACTTGTTTAACTGTTCCTATTTGAAGCATTTGAAATGTTATTGAAAATTACACTGATGAAGTATAGCATTTTCTGGAATAAAACTAACCATTTTCAACAACTGGAGAAAGACAGGTGGCAGTTCATCTTCTGCCTGAGGGTTTCTGGAAGTATGTAATCCAATACTGTGGCAAACAGTTGCTGGAATATTTTCTTTTTTGCCTTCAAGTCAGAACTGATTCCAGGCCACTACCATGGACTAGTCCATGCAGGTTTTTGGGCAACATTTTTGGAAGAATTTTGCCATTGCCTTCCTATGACTGAGACAGAGTCTCTGTCCCAAAAAACCCCCAGCTGGTTTCTATACCTAAGGTAGGACTAGAACTTGGGTTTACCCATTCCTGCTCCAGTGCCTTGCCCAATACGCCAAACCAGCTCTCATTCCCATACACACACATATAGGGATGTGCAAATGCTACTGTTCTGGAAAACATTGCAACGTTCCATTTTTCTTCCAGGCTGCACCAATCTGGCCATTTCTGAGGAACTCTGTTACTGTAGTTTTCCAGGAGGGTGACTTGCACATCCCTATCAGAACGGATATCCCTTTGGGTTTATTCAGTGTGGTCTTTCTTAAAATTTTCTACCTCTGAAAGGCTTTGAACTATTTAAAAAGATGTTAATGAGAATACACAAGACTGGACAGGCAAAAATTAACATCAGCTGTTGTCTATTTCTTCAGCAATCTAACACATCAGTGTATAATGTTGCCTTAGAAAGCAAAATCAATTCATTTTCAGACTGCATGATTAATAAATATGTTTCACAGTCAAAATACATGTAATATCAGAGTAAGTACTTAGTTCAGAAGATTCCAAGGTGCAATTATCTATTTTAGTATTACAAGTAAGTAGAATGAGCATTCCTCACTCTGGAATCAATCTCCTAAAGCAACAATAAAGAAAAGATGGGGCTGCTGCTGTCCAGCTCAGAAAGTATTCAATGCTTTATTATTTTTTTGAAGGAATCCAAGCAATGTATTTCTTCATGGAAGGATACGGTACCACTGCACAATTGGGAATACGGCTATTGAGAAACTCAGCAGCGACTTCTGCCTTAGGACGGCCAACATCTTTAGGTCTGCAAAGTACAGGTTAAGGAATTAAATTTCTCAGACTAAAACGTTGTGTATTATGTATCAACAAAGTTGATGTCAGCTCTTCAAAGTAGGCAAGATCAAAGAACAGACATAGCAAGGATTCCAGGAATGCTCCTCTATTGTTCTAGGGTATATTAATAGAACCTTGAAAGCCTGTCCAAAACTTTCACTGCCCTTTTTTAAGGACAACAAGGTCATGATGGGACTGTTCTGAGTCTCTTTCTCCCTCTTATTTTCCGACAGTTGAGTAACCATTTTTCCTCCTCCTCCTCCTCAAGGCCAGAGCTAAATTCTTCTAGACCTAACTACCAGCTCCTTTTGCAACAACTACTTATTGACAACCAGTACTTTGATTAGAGCTTTCACTTAAATGCTTACTTCCACCTTCTTTTCAGGAGCAAAAAGTGGCATACATAGCAATCCTTCTTCCCATTTTATCCTCAAACATCAACCCTGTAAAGTAGGTTGGCCTGAAAGAGAGTAACTAGCCCAAAGACATCAATGAGTCTCCAAGGGTGAGAATGAACTTGAATTTGGATATCCATGATCCTGGCCTAACAACTTAATCACTATTATTTCAATTAAATTTAATATAATTTCATGCTTGTTTTGAACTACTGTAGCAAGAGGAAGGAGTAGTATCCATCACCAACATCTACACCAGCTGCCAGGCCCCTCCCTGGGATCTCTACCCTCATACCCCTTCTACCCGAGATTAAGGATGTCTGGGTGTGGCTATTCTGCCAGGTGAAAAGAGGTTCATTATCTCTTGCTACTATCTATCTCTGTCCCTCTTCAACCTGAATTTGGATGAGGTAGAAGATTGACCCTTTCCCAGCGATCAATTTTTCCCCCTTTAACCACAGTTACTAGGCCAAAGCAGTTTTGGAGAATATGGTGCTAGGTTACAAACCCAATACTGGTGTAATAAAGAAAGGAAGGATTTTTATTTGAATAAAAGCAACAATTCTTGCTTCCAAATGTACTCATATTTATTGACCTGGAATTATAAGAAATGGCTTCTGATACAAAACAGGCAACTGTTGTCAGAAGCAAGATTGTAAATACCTGGTACACACATGAAAATATTTTCCTTGCCAGCAGAACAGATGTACTGAATCGTGGCTTCATATAACAAGTACCATGATTTCCTCAAAACTGCTCTTTTGACATGTGCCGTTATCTGATAGATGGGTAACAGATAAGCTTCACAGAATCATCCTGATTAAAATGATTCTCACATCCCCAAAATGAATAAGACAATGAACTGTGGGAAAGGCAGGCAAGCAATGGTAATTACACTTAGCGATGATGTACCTTAGGAGAGTTAGAATTAAACTGTATTATTACAATGATAATGATGATTATTATTATATTTGCCCTCCACTGCAATCAGTTCAATTCTCAGCAACTTACACAATAGAAAAGAAATTTAAAATATCCATGGTAAGCTTAAAAAAATAAAACTTCTAACAGTGAAATAAGACCAAAACAAAAATAAAAGAAAGATTAACCTGATCTTCAGAACAATTCCATCTTCAACATCTGCCTAAATGTACTCAGGGAGGGTGTCCATCTGATCTCTATAAGGGGGAGACCGTTCCAGAGGATTGGTGCTGCCATTGAAAAGCAGAGCCTCCTTCCTTCAGCTCCATTTATTTGCTAATGGTGGGGCCCTAGGGGTAGTTTTTTCTTAGATGATCTACAAGATCAGACAGATTCAGGTTGGAATGGTATGGATCTTTGTACAAAAGATACAACTCCCTGAATTTTGCTACCAGAAGTCTTACAGAAATTAAGAGATTGCCTGAGTATATAGTTCACATCCAAAGAGAAGCTTTAAGTTTATAGCTTACCGAAACAAGAATTGCCTGTTTAAGTTAGATACATCAATAGTGTCCATATCAATTACATGAATCTGTCTAAAACCAGATAGTGCCTGCAAAGACAGAGAAAAGGAAGTTATAAAAGCAACATACATTATTTTCATTGTGATGAACTTGCTGCTTTTGAAAAATACCAATATTTGACAGTATTGTAAGTTAATAACAAAGGAATTGGAGCATTCATAGCCACCAGCTCCTATTTGAGGCCACAGAGCCTACAAAGCCTGCCCTGCTAAAATTTGATAAAAATCAATGTCACATTTTTCTGCCCTTTAAAACAAAAAGCAAAACAGATGCACTGGGGAACTTGTTTTTATTTTAAATGACCCTTTCAAAGTTTAAAAATGGGGCAAAAGCTATCACTTCCCTACCTCCAAAGTCCCCCCAAATCTTGAAAAAGCTGTTCAACCCAGGAATAACAAATGCTACGTCTGTTGGAGAACAGAATAAAAAATGCAGTAATGATTCAGCAACAATCTTTAATTCATCAATTTTACTCTATCAAATAACTTTTTCTAGAAAAATACCATAATACACTAATAATAACTTCTGTGACATACCTTGCCTAATCCTTCTCAGAAAGTTATATGGAAGTACTAGTATTAAACACTGTTGTATATGTCAAAGCATAAACAAAAAACTCTTAAGTAGTAAATTTCACTGCTTCATCTAATTTCCACAATACATTAAGAAGCTGTTAGATGTCAAAACATTCAATACAATGAAAACAGCTAATCTTCTCAGCATGTGATTTTCAGCACATTCTGGGAATGCAAGGGATTGGATTGAGTAAGAGCCATGGAATTATGCTTCCGGAACAAGATCTGCCTGCCAAAGGCTATTCCTAAAAGTAAGAGAGTCCTGTAAAATGCTTATTATTTCTTTATTTAAAACATTTGTATACAGTAGCTGTCCATCTTAAAGCTAAACCCTAGGCGGCTTACAATCCAAAAATAAAACAATATATACAATAAAAATGCAATAAATAAAAACACAAGAACCAGTAAAACCAAAACAGAAAAACCCAGTACCACAACCACACTTCCCTGAAATAGTCCCAACATTCTCATCCCACTCTGATCTCATCCTGTCCCAACACAAGGGGGGAAGAGCCAGGTCTTAAGTGCACTCCTGAAGATTAAAAGGATAGGGGCTTGTTGGATCTCGAGGGGAGAGTGTTCTATAGGGCAAGGGAAGCAATGGAGAGGGCACAATTCCAAGGACCCACAAGATGGCAATGTTTAAGGGAACAGAACTAGAGCATGCCCACCCTATCCGCTCTGGTGAGATGGGCAAACACCCTCAGGCAGAGGTGGTCCTGCAGATAACCCAGTCCCATGCCATGTAAGTCTTCAAAGGTGATAACCAGCACCTTGAATTGCACCTGGAATGAAATTGGGAGCCAGTGCAACTCACGCAACAGGAGTATAATATGGGTGAACTTAGGGGCGCCCACATTGTGCATGTGCTGCTGTTCTGGACCTGTACAGGTAATCCTCGGTTAATGACCACTTGTTCAGCGACAGTTCAAAGTTACAATGGCACTGAACGAATGATACTTATGACCAGCCCTCAAACTTCTGGCCATCCCAGCAACCCCAGGGTCACATGATTGCGATCCAGATACTTAGGATGGTTGCAGTGTCTCACAATCATGCGATCACCATATGCAACTTTCCCTGCCGGCTTCGGGCAAGCAAAGTCAGTGGGGAAGCCAGCAGGGAAGGTCACAAGTCACTCCTGTAAGTTGCTCCCATTCCTGCCACTTTTTCTCCCAAGAAGCCTGGCTACAGAGTACGAGATCCCAGGGATCTCGTACTCCGTAATGTGTGCATGCAGCACCCCCTCATCCACACTCCATAGCTCACACCCGCTTGCACAGCAGCCACCAATGCACCCTCACACACCCAGCAGCAGCCACCGCCACCTACCTACGCTTGCATCTCAGCAGCCACTTACCCACCCATCAGCCTGCTTGCAAGATGTCCAGCACTTGCAACTTCCTGCCAGCTTCCTCACTGACTTTGCTTGTTGGAAGCTGCCAGGAAGTTGTGAGGAAGTTCTTGCTTAATGACCTGCAATCCTTGCTTAACGATGGCAGTGGGGACTGCTGGGATTGCCATTGCTAAGCAGTGTGGTCACAAGTTGCCCTTTATGACCGCATTGCTTAGCGATGGAAATTCTGGTCCCAATTACCATTATTAAGCAAGGACTATTTGTAGTAACTTCCAGGAGGTCTTCAAGAACAGCCCTATGTAGAGTGCACTGCAGTAATCCAAATAGGAAGTGACCCCTGGTGTGAGTGATCGTGAGCATGGACTCCTGGTGCAGGAAAGGGTGCAGTTAGCACACAAGATGGACCTGTTCAAAGGCCCCCTAACCACTGTTGCCACCTAGTCATCGAGCAGGAGCCGTGAGTCTAGGAGGACCCCCAAACTGCACACCAGCTCGGTCCAGGGGAATGCCATCCTGTCCAGAGTCAAAGATGACATATCCCCAGACCCGGGGGCAGGGGGACAAAGAGCCAAAGTGAATTCATCTTGCCAGGGTTGAGTTCAAAGTCGGTTCCTTCCCATTCAGTCCCTCATAGCTTCCAGGCACTCAGTCAGCACTACAACAGCATTACCTGTCTGGCTGGGGGTAGAGATGTATACCTGGGTATCATCAGCATACTGATGATACCACACCCCCTGCCAGTGAATTACCTCACCCAGTGGCTTCATGTAAATCAGGGGAGGGGAGGGGAGGGGAGAGAGGAGAGAGGAGAGAGGAGAGGAGAGGAGAGGAGAGGAGAGGAGAGGAGAGGAGA